ATCGCTCGACATCGTTCACGTTTCTCCGGGACTCATACCGCTGGACCTTGGAAAAAAACACGGGGTTTTTTTTGCAAGGAGATGGAGGAATATTTTGTTTTTGAAGCAAAATCTCGTTTCAAAGAAAACTCCGCAACAGCAAAAATCGCCACTTCTCCTGCTCTAGTCCATGAGATGCTTCAGTTTCAACGTGATCGAAGAGCCCCTCATTTTTGTGAGGCATGGAAACCTGTAGGAAAATTTTGAAAATATAATTTAGTTTCGTGCCGGTGGATCGGCCAACGCAATATTTTTTAGTTCCGCACTGTGTTATGGAATTTTTAAAGATACAAACAGTGAATATCCCTTGCTAGGAGACTGGAAGAGGACGAGGGCCTTGTGTTTCATCCCTAAGCTGTAAACACAGACGGCAGAATCGGTGCGAGACGGAGTTGGAATCATCAGCACAGTGCTCCATTTCGCCATATTAAAGGAAACTTTGATTACCTGAATAAGATAAAGAGGAAATGAGGGTGAATGTAAAAGGAGACTACAGAAAGTAAGATTTTAGCGGCTAATGCTAAAATTTAATAGACTGAAAAGTAAAACTAACTAAATTTAACATCTGTATATCTGTTTTCCGCTCTAACTAATTTAATATTTAAAGCCTTCTTTTTCTCCAGTTCTTCCACTTTTCAGTTTTTTTGGCACATTTCTATAGGACCTAAAATTGGTAGTTTTGCATGTCAGGAGAGTCAAACCTGCCACTAGCTTGCTTTCAAGTGATCCTCGAAAGAGGAGATTATCGACATCCCTGCTAGCGATTGACTGCTGTTGGCACATGCTATCACTCGTATAACTTTGCAGTTGGCATTATAATAATTTTACAAATTTTCTAATTCTCATTTCCTATCTTCCTTTTTGATTCTTCCTCTTATTCCATCCCTTATTAACATACCTTTCTATTCCAAGCACCTCTGCCTTTTATAAAGAGCGCATAGGATGGGGGTTTTAAATTTGTGCTCAAAAATTCCCTATTTCCGGAAAAAGGCAAATTTTTTCACGCTTCCCGGGGAGAAGCATGGATGGTTAATTCACCAGTAAGTGGAGGAACTTTAAAAAGTTAAAAAGAGAAATTCAACAGAAAAAGCAACTGCTCGAGAATTGGAAATGTGAGGCGTTGGAAATGAGATTTTTTTATGAAGATCAGTATTATGTATGGCGATGAAAAACGCAGTGATTATTTATCAGCAAAAAAAAAATCAGCAAGTTCAGCCGGAATGACACCATGGAATTCTCGATATCCAAGGGAAATGTACAGCACAGCAACAACATCCCCCGCCCCTAACCCCTGTTTGCCTTGCAACTGTTTTTTGAGCAAAATCAAACGGGTAAGAAAACAAATGCAAGAAAATATACCTATGTCATGTATAACGTACATTTCATACATATCGTATTATAAATGTACGCAAATTACATATATTACACAAATGCGACAGACATGTACTTAAAAAATTGCAAATATTATTTGTACAATATATGTAAAGCATATATGTGTGCATAACACATATTACGCCCATAATACATGTAATATTTGTTTCACATATATTTTGTTTATTTCCATAGGCGGATCCAGGACGGACTGAGCGAGGGGCAAGGGGGAAGGGGGGAAGGCCGGTGGGGAGGAAGAGTGGAGCTCTTGGAGCGGGCGACGAGGAGTAGGAGAACAGTGGGGCTTCTGGGAGAGTCCCCTCTCATCCTGGAACTATGCAAAAACTAGGAATAGAGTTGTAACGCTGCTGTTTACAGTTAGTTTTATTTATAAACAGACCCGGGCTTTTGTAGCACTGGTGTCTGAGCCGAAAGACCCTTCGCTCCCTCCTCCCCCCTTCCCCTCCCGCGCCCCCCTCCCCTCGTCGCCCTGAATTCGGCCATGTTTATTTCATACAAACGTATTATACGATATTATACAAAGCAAATATATATAGATATAATAAATGAAAGCATGGAAAACATGCATATTTTCCACTTATATGCATCTATGAGCATATATATATATATATATATACCCCTATAAGGATGAATAGGCGCATAAATTTGTACATGCATGCATATCTCTCTATGTACATGTGTTTACAGCTCCATAGCACATATATCTTATAAACATAT